ATATATATTCTCAAGGATACTTTTGTTTGTTTGTGTGTATGTATGTGTATAGTAAAATATATCTTGAAAGAGATATATATCTTTGTAAAACACTTGTAAAACACAATATACTAATTGTATATTATGTTTTACATAAACCTCGCAAAAATTAAACCGTGTTAATTGATAATAACAAATAAATGTATACTTAATAAGTTTTCCTAATACGACACCGCTGTTGTTGTACTTTTATCATGGTACAGTAATTAACGATGAAAATTAATATCACCATTATATAAATGTATTAAATTATAATTTAATATATTAAGAGCGAATGAGTATAAATCGCTATACAAATCACTTCAGGCGATTACGAAACGCATTATTCTAACCTAGTTGTTTACAGAGTGCTAACTAAGTATTTTGTTATCCATGTATGTTCGTAGCGTTTGAAATAATATGAAAGCAGTCTGATTTGACGTGTCCTTAAAAAACTGTTAATATATATTTAAAATATTATTTGAAATTTAGTCCCGTTTAACTAACTAAATATAAGGATCATGACTATTTGATTTATTCCATGAGTATCTTAAGTGCCGAAGAAGCAGTCTATTTTACGTGAAAGGTTGCCAAGTGCGCAGGCGGTTCACCTAATGTTTATTGTATGCGACCGCACATGGACTTTGTGCGCCATAGTTAGTGCATAGTGCATAGTGCGGACCTAGGGTCTTGCAAATCCGTGGAAAACCTTTCAAAAAGTGCGCCCTTTTTACCTCACCCGCCAGACGAAACGTGAAATTTTAATACGTTCCACTTCACGCCGGTTTTTTGTGAGGTCGCGGCACTTCCTCGGACGAGCTTGCCCATTCATGCAACAGCAGAATCTAGTAGCCCTACCACTGTCTATAACACTTTTATCATCATTCTGCAATGTATAATAATTCTGTAAATTATATGTAATAATATAATTGATTTTATAATGAGTACGAAATTAAACGGCAGCAATTTATATATTTAATTAACGATAAAAAAGATAAGCTTAAATTATGAAATGAAACAAAAACCAAACTTCATTAAAAAGGTACTTACTATTCCTATATTTATATTTTGCGGAGACGATATTAAAATAATGTGGACGATGTAACTCCAACTACTGAGTCGAATCTAATGACATGTCGCATGTTGAAATCCGTAAGATATATACATTTACCTACGCTCGAAAAACGTTACCCTTCTTTGGCTTTAGCCAAGTAAAAACGAACAGTTAACATAAAAAAAAAGGGTTAAATAATAGGTAGATTTGCATCTAATAGTTTTTACGGTAATTTTCCGGTAGATTGATAAAAAAAACAATAGAACAATAAAAAATAAATGAAGAAATAACATAATTCTTTATCGAAGGATGGTCTACATAATACCGACACAATGAGGTAGAGAAGTTTAGCACATTCTTTCAACGACTTTCTTAATATTTAAAAAGGGGCAAGTGCGAGTCGGACTGGCGCACAAAGGATTCCATGCAATTTTACATAAAAACCAGCCAAGTGCGAGTCGGAATCGCCCACGAAGGGTTCCTTACCCATTATCTATAAAAACGGCAAAAGAAATGTCTGTTGTATGGGAGCCCCACTTAATTTTTTTTTTCTGTTTTTTAGTATTTGTTGTTACAGCGGCAACAGAAATACATCATCTGTGAAAATTTCAACTGTCTAACACGGTTCATGAGTTACAGCCTGTGACAGATGGACAGACAAAAAGCGGACTCTTAGTAATAGGGTCGCGTTTTAATCCTTTTGGGTACGGAACCCTATAAAGTATAAACAGGTTATAAAGATAAATCAAAACTTTTTCATAAAACTATAAGTATATCGTAACAACAAAAGAAATTTTAAACTAAGCAATGAAATAAGTAATCCTTACTAATATTATAAAGGCGAAAGTTTGTATGTATGGATGGATGTTTGTTACTCTTTTATGCAAATAGTGGTGAATGGATTTTAATGAAACTTTACAATAATTTAGCTTATAATATCAGAATAAGAAATAGGCTATAATTTATATACATATTTTATTTATATCTGTCTGTCTCTCTGAATGTTACGCCTTCAGCCTATTCTACGCAAACGTAGTCGCGGGCAGCAGCCAGTCCTTACTATTATATTATAAAGGCGAAACTTTGTATGTATGGATGGATGTATAGCTTATACATCAGAATAAAACATAGGCTATAATTTATATAGGTTTAGGTAATTTATATACACATTTTATGTATATCTCTCTTTCTATCTGAATGTTACACCTTCAGCCTATTTTACGAGACGTAGACGCGGGCAGCAGCTAGTATATAATATAATTGTCATTGTTAATCCCCGATAATACAGCATGGATTTCGCATTTTAAATAAAAATCCATATACAAATAATGTATAAAGTGTATTAATCATATCAGTAAATATTTAATAAATTAAATCTCGGAACTGCTAACATCCTTGGGTGAAATACAATTTCTCCTACTGCTTGATTGGACCTTAAGACAACAGAAAGATAAAGCTAAGCTCTTTGATTCAGTGCAAATGTAATTTAAATCGGATTAATTTCCTATCTTTAACTGATATATATATAAGATTGCCATAGAAAGATATTATATAATAGTTAGGTAATATAATAAGAAAACTACTTGCTCGCCTCTATGCCTAAATAAAAAACCTATAACGAAAGGCATAATTTATTATTACATATTATAAGACCATAAAGGTCTTATAACTGTAATTGGATTACAATAACTACAACATATCTATGTTAATACGCGATGCAAAAACTTTGTACCCAATTTTTACAAAAATTGAGCGGAGGAGTATGAAATTCCCCACACTTGTACTTTATTGTACCGAATGGTAATATTTTTTAATAACTATGCATAAAAAATACATTAAATTAATAAAAAAATACTACCATGTGTAATTAATTATAGAATTTCGACCACTGGGCGACAACTAGTAAAATATACAGCACAATGAAAAGAAAACACGAACAAAAAGGAAAGAACAATCCGAAGAATTCCATCATTCAAGGGGCTTTACCTGTTTAAACAAAGAAAATGTTTAATGTAAAATATTTATACATTATTTCATTGTACAAATGACAGAACATTTTTGTATTTAATATAACAAATGGTGACTTCAATAAAAAAAAATGTTTGTGTGTTTAAAATTACACACAACCGGCGCCGTTCCAAATCAAATTATCCGTTTTTTACACTATGATATTTTAATAACAATATACCAAATGCAAGTCACGTAACTAAAAAAAATAGATTCTAATTAATATTAGCACAAAGCGCCAAAGCCAATAAATAACACATTATAATAAATCAATGTGGTAGTGGTTTATGGAATTTTTTGCACCTTTCTGTTAATGAGTTAAGCGCTTTATACGAGATCCTTTTGATTGCTGTTTTTTGTCTTTTTACGTTTATTTCGTATGGAGTTTAAAGGGTGATAATTTGCGTTTTTAAATGTGGCAATATATCAATCGCATCTTAATTTGATAAAAAGGGAACAAGCATTTGAACACTCAATGATCCCCCAAGGATCTTTTAGGGTCTTTTAGTAATTTAATGATTAAAATGTTACACTAGATTAATCTTATAAACACTTCAGTGAGATACCCCTGTATCTATAGATAGTATAGACTTTTTGAGAAGTGCCCAAATTTACACAGGAGGTTCAGACTCGGTAGTATAATCGGTTATTGAAATAAAAACAAAGTTTTATGTTCCAAAGAAAATTCCATTCTATTCCCTAAAAAACAGAACGTGTTGACAATGCGATAGTCATTCATAAATACCTAAATTTTACTGTGCACGAACTTGTGTGCGTGTTAGATTTGAATGATCGCGCGTAAAATATATTAACTTATCTCAAAACGCGCGATTATATCACGCACTTTTTGAGATAAGTTCAAATGAATGTAATTCATTACTTACGAGTGATTTTAAATATTTATCATTTTTATATAATATTATTTATGTCTAGAATCCAATTAACTTAGAAAAACCACACTATGTGTGTGTGTGTGTGTGTGTGTGTGTGTGTGTGTGTGTGTGTGTGTGTGTGTGTGCGTGTGCGTGTGCGTGTGCGTGTGCGTGTGCGTGTGTGTGTGTGTGTGTGTGTGTGTATACATATATACATATATTTATTATATTTAATTTATTTTAACATTTATCACATTTAATCATAAACCTTCTTAATTCAATTAACACTATTCTTATTTAATATGTTCAGCAATGTGGACGCTTAAAAACATGATAAAAAAACGTCGAATCAATTCAATCAAAAATGTAAGCATCAAAGGTGTAATTTAAAATTATTTAAAAACTGTCACGAAATTGTCTTAAAACGTCACGCATACGAGTAAAAATACCCGACGGCCGGCAAGCTGTCTTACTTGGTTTCCTCAACGCGCGTTCCTACAATTTTCTGCTCAGCATTTTAGTGGCCGTTCTAATTACCTACATACAGCACAGCACACTCGGCGACCGTACTCTAGAATTATACAAAACCACAAACTACTACAGTGTTATAATGGCATTAACAATGTTGCGTTTACCATAAAAAACATATTGACTAGTGATAACATTTTAACTGAAAAAGTATAGCAAGTAAACCACTTTGTTCAGTTGGTGTTAAAACGAGAAAATAAAGAGGGTTAGGAAATACGTCAATTTAAAGAAATTCCATAACTGCATTTAGTTACCGCTTAAAGTTCTAATGCAATTTTATTATAATTATGTATCTTATAATACCTACGCTATAGAGCGTGCACTAGTATCCACGAGATAAGGGGCCCTTCAGGCAGCGGTCGTGCAATGGCTGTCAATCATGGCCATCCATCATTTCGGCCCTCAATGTTCACGAACACCGAAATCGTGCCACCAGTCACCGGCTACTGAGCGCGTACCACAAAACAACAGACCGCACAAGCCGCGCTCCTTTCACTTAGACACCAAAGTACACCTTCCGAATGGGTAGATGCGCGCTCCCGCGATTCAAGGCGGCCGGCCGCGCTGATGACGGACGATATTGTTTCGCCGATGAACTACGCGTAACCGTGCGCTCCTGCCGATGGCGCGGTTCGCTTTTCTGTCATGCGATTGTGATTTGTTTACTGCGTCGATACGCGCGGCGTACGATACGACCGCTGCCCGCGTCGGTCGGCGACCGGCTGAGCAGAGCGGCGAGACGGTTCCGCCGCGCCCGCCTCTTACGAGTTTTTCGTGCGCCGGCTTTCGGCCGCGCCGAAGTCAGCCGACTACGCCCGAAGCGATTAGCTGCCCGGATGATCCGCGGGCAACTCGCTGCCGATTCCCCACAAGCATAGATAAGACATATATACTGAAACTTACTCTGCCCACACGCTTAGGTTTCGTTGTTTTAACGCATAGAGTTACCGGTTGAACAAGAACTGAAAGGATAAGCTAACAGAGCTTATCCTGATAATATATATAAATAATGATTAAAGAAATTCGATAGACTAAACAAACCCCCAATTTAAGTCTTATTAGTTTTCGCGTTAACAAACACTACGACATCATAATCTCACAATAATAACAACGAGTTTACCTATTTTATAAAATTCACGAATTGTAACAAATACTGATAACACAATTATAACAAATTTTTCCGGACCCACCGCCGGGGGTCCCGCCGGATAACACTACACCCACAGTTAGTGCATAAACAAACACACTAGTTCGCCCTCGCCTCCGAGCACGGCGAGACCAACACAACGCGTAAACAAGGTACACCCGCGTTCCGGGGCGGTTCTCACCGCTCCCAGCCACCGATTAGCTAATTGCACAGTCGACGGCCATCGGGGTTTCGGACCGAATCGCAACCTCGATGGCCCTTAGATGACACACCATAGTTAAACGCACGCATGAGCACATGCGTGGCCCTACCCACAGAGGAGGGCCCAAACCCGTGGGTTCTGGCTAGCCCACCGGTTCTGCGTCAGATGAAGCTTTAATAGTCTCGGGACTGAAAGCAAAAACATCAGTCAATACATGGATACAAGGATACAAGGAACAAATTTTCACCTCTTGCTATCAGGGTGGGTAGAGGTTGTGGCACTTACCACTTTATACTGGTACTGATCATAATTACAGCCGAATAGGCAGGCAGTAAATGACTTCACCGTCCACTGTGTGCAAATATGTACAGAAAATTGATAATGGTATTCCAATTATATTATCATCATAATTTCAGCCTGTTTGAGTCCACTGCTGAACATAGGCCTCCCCCATAGACTGCCGCGAAGTACGATCCTGAGCCATCTGCATCCATCGACTTCCCGCACATTTGCACGGGTCGTCACTCCATGGGGGGTCGTCCTACACTGCGATGGCCAGTACGAGGCTGCCACTCGAGAACCTTTATTCTCCAGACCCAAATATCCAGGCGAATAACGGGTAGCAGTGTTGAAGGTGCGAGGTGTCTGGAAGAACTTCGGTTGTCTATCGGCTCGCCAAGCGTGGCAACTATTGCAAAAACCCCTCATGTATGGAAGTTCAGTTATATAAAATAATATAATATAAATATAATAATAATATATAATAAATAAATAGCTTCCGATTTTTTGATTTCTATAATACTGTTTAATTTAATCACTTCTCTATATCCTATATCAACGGTAAGCAAATGTATTTCCATATATTATGAAGAATCTTTTAAAATTCTAACTTTAAGAGAGTAATAATACCTAACACGTATTAAATGATTTATTTCTTTCTCATCATTCAAAGACCATTTAAAATAAATACTAGCTTAAATTTCGACTTAAACTTGGTCGTTAAACTGAGATAAGATAATGGCATCTAATTAAATGATAAAAAAAAAGATCCGAGAAGACAGACCACCTATTTTAGTTAAGAAATCAAATCGATTTCCGTTGAAAATCTTTACCATAGTTTGTTATTTTCACAAATATTAAGTATTATGTATATCATTGCCGTGCCAGAAAGCTTGCTTTGAATCGACGAGGCTTTTTCAGTGGGGAACGAGGCTTTTCAGTGGTAATGGATAAATTTCTAATGGAACACAGCTATAGGTAGAAATTATTACAAATTTTAGTGATTAACTTTAAGTTAAAGAGAACCTTTGATTAAATATTTCCTATAATAATATTTATTATCATAGAAGCAGACGAGATAATATCATAGAAACATTGATATTAGAATATGTTTTGTATAAAAAAATTGAAATTTACTATTGATTATACAGAATGCATAGAGAGGAAGATTTTTAAAGTATAATACATAAAAGATAAGATATCGTTTGTGAATACTATTATTCTTTAGTAATATATAATAATACTTTAAGTCATAGTAAAAAAGTAAAGAAACAGCAATAAAAACAGCATATAAATTTCCAACTGCTGGGCACAGGCATCCTCTGTAAACAGGGTATCAGGGCATTGTCCACCACACGACCCCACTGCAGGTTAGCGGACTTCACATATATTTTTTATTATTTCGAAAATATGCAGGTTACCTCACGAAGTTATCCTTCACCGCTGACCATCTGAAAATTCTGCACTTAAAATTAACAATTTCATTGGTCCTTCCACCGGGGATCGAACTCAGTTGAGCGCCCGGACACTGAGCTATCACGGCGAGTCATAGAGAAAGTTATAATAGCTTAGATAGCAAGTAGATGAGAAATAATTGTCGGTCTACCTTTGAACAAAATTAACACGGTTCGTCCCAAATTCACGAAATTTGATCTCAATACTTTTTTTCCCGTCAGGTATAGTCTGTTAAACCATATATTGGGACATTCATCATTTTATGTGACGTACTTCCAAATAAATTAACGAGGTGGGTGTAATTAGAGGTTCGAGGGTACAGATAGACACTTACTTTGTATTATGCTTCAAATTCAAGTGCATAATTGTTTAAATTAAGCATTAATCGATCAAAAGATAAACAAATGAATATTAAAATGTATTTGTTTAATGATTGTGGATAAATTTAAGGGTAAAGAATGATACTAATTATTTCTAACGTATTAAGAGCCAAGCGGTTGGCTCTATAAAAAACTTTAAAGTACATATATTCGCCAAGCCAACAGAAATAAAACAACAGGTTTCTAAATTGCAATCTTAGTCTCTTTGTAGTGAAAAAGGCGACATCGCAGAGTAGAATTTCTACTTATTAAAAGAATTACGTAAAACAATGTTCGTGTTTCATCTCATCCTTTAAACGAGCAATTATTTTATATATTTATATATATATATATATATATATATACAGCGTGTCTTTACCACCGCGGCAATAAATGAACACACGTCTAACGCTACTTGCCAATAATCATAAAAAAATATTAACGTTAAAAAATCCATAATTAAAAAAATATTTTTCAAACAAACTAATTAAGTAAAAAAGAAACAAAATTTGTAACATCCTATACAACTACAACTGACTGATTCATACATTCAGAGACTTTTCATTCGTTGCCACAGCGCCGCATTACAAGCCTCTCTGTAGTATGTTTTGTCTCCTTTAAATTCATTCAACCCATTCATATGCTTTGTGACCTTTACAAATGAACTTTACATTAAAGTTTTATACGTAAGGGTGTTCTAAAATTCTTGGTTTGGAAAATTTGATAACTCGGTAATTATTGATGTTTAAAGAATGTAAATGTTTAATACAATTTTAAAAAGTTATCCTCTATATGTGTTTTCATTTCTTGTTGCGATGGTAACGACACGCTGTATACCGGATCATTGCTTTCTTTATTTTTTATTTTTTTATTTCCAAAATACATGATTTACCAAAAAAAACTGCAAAGGTTGGTGCTCCAGGTACAATACTTTAAACCACAATTTGAAATAAGAAAAAACAACATTATGCAAAGAATTGCTGAGCAATAGAATATTAAATTAACCAACAAGTTTTTTTCCGGCATCGTGTACAGAATCAAAATAAATTTTGATCCTTTTGATATACAAAAACGGACCGGAATATTTAAATCATACGTGATTATAATCACATTCACAATAATACAAACGATGTCATGCCATTTATGTAGTATTGCTTTGAAAAATCTGTCTGAATACATTATCATTCTGGTAATATCTGATAATAATCGCCAATTTTATGCCACCGCGCAGTGATATGACAGTACATTGACTTTTACGTAATAACAAGATAAAACGCCGTCATAATCCTGTCTATTTAATTATTTCGGATATTTACCTATTTATAACTTTAAGCAACAGTTTTTTAATTTAACGATGTTTTCATAATTTCGAATAGTTTTAATTTTACCACATAATGATTAGAACCTTTAGGAATATTCCATTATCTACTTTCCAGCAATCTAACAAAAGCCTTTGCTGCATCATTCATAACAGTTCAGGTACAGAAAAGAAGTGGAAAAATGTGCTAACATCTTTCCATCTGTGAAGCATAATTTTTAGGTAACATTAAAAAAGGCTTTATTAGTGAAGCGTTTAGCACTATTGTGTGTTCTAAACGGCTGCGTCACACTTATCGTAAATTCAAAAATAGTCTTCGTAATACTGACATGTTCTTGGTAGAAAAAAGCCGTCAAAATCAGAAATGAAAACTTTCTTCACACACTTGTAAATATTATTTTTGGGTTGTACAGAAATATTTTTTAGGATATATTTTTATCACCGTATTTATAAACTAAAAAAAAAATACTTATCATCTAAATAGTAAAAACAAATTTGTAAATGCGTATCAATTTAAGAAAATTTAATCAATTGTATTTTCTACGCGATTTCAGTGCTTTTTTTCCCCATCCCAAGAGAATAACGTGCCTAAAGAATGAAGACTTCTTCAAAAACGCTGGCTCTTGCAGAAAACACGGAAAAAGAGCTCCAATTTTTTTTAAAATATTTAAAAAAATGTGTGTGTACTTGTATGTTATGTACACGCGTTAGAAGTTATACTTCTTTGACGTAGCAAGATAAAAATCTTTTCAAAAATTTTATCTTTCGCCTTATTTTACGTTTAAGTATAACAAGTAAGACCGTATGATGGAAATGTCTTAAGTAAAGTTACAAAAAGTTTCTTCCTTTTCGATCGTTATTTTCAATATTAAGACTGAGGTAAAAAATAATTGTAGGTATGCGGAAAAATATAAATAATTTATAGAACTATAAACTAAAGAATAATATATTTTATAAATAATTTATAGAATGATGGCTGAAACAACGGTGATAATTGTTCTGTAGAATTAACTTTGGTACAGAATAACAAGGAAAACGTCAAGAATTGCTGATGTGAAATAAGATTTTCTAATTGACCCAGGATCAAAATATTTTTACCGAATAAACTACCGACCGGCAGGTATGCGCTATTTCGAACATAGGCATACATTTATTCTAATGTTTATGTAATACTGAGTAAATGCCAGTATAAAAAAATATATTAAAATAAATAAATAAGTCGAATTAGCATTTCTGACCGAATCTTGTCTTTCGATAGAAGTTTCATTAGTTATGGTACTGGTAACCATATTGTGATGACAGCGCTTTAGTCACTCTCTATTTATTTGGTCTTTTCTTCAGACCTCAGCAATAAATTCAAGAAAAGACTTCTTTCTATATTTTAACTCAGAATGACCATTGTTATTATGTCTTGTGAAGAAGACACTTCCGAGTACTCGAGTAAGCTATGTACCGCAGTCACATATGTGTATGCGTTAATTTACAAAAAATAGGAGAATATTGAATACAAAGCATATATAACATATACAATATATAACCATTTATACAGCGTGTCGTTACCACCGCGACAATAACTGAACACACATATACAGGATAACTTTTTAAAATTGTATTATACATTTACATTCTTTAAACATCAATCTTTATCGAGTAATAACTCGGTTAAATAAATTCGGTAATTTTCCAAAACAAACAATACGTATAGAACTGTAACGTAAAGTTCATTTGTAAAGGTCACAAAGCATATGAATGGGTTGAATGAATTTAAAAGAGACAAAACATACTGTTAGAAGGAGAGGCTTGTAATGCGACGCTGTGGCGCGTGTTTTATAGGATGTTACAAATTTTGTTTCTTTTTTACTTAATCAGTTTGTTTGAAAAATATTTTTTTTAATTATGGATTTTGTTTAATGTTAATATTTTTTTATGATTATTGGCAAGTAGCGTTAGACGTGTTTTCATTTAATGTCGCGATGGTAACGACACGCTGTGTATTCAAATTTTATTGTGTGCACTCGTTGAGGAAGTATGTTCGACAGGTAGCCGACTTGTTGTCAGCCCTTGATACTGTAGAAATAAGCATTCGAATAGATTGGCTGTAGTCAATTGTCTCATATTAGTTAATGCGTTTGTTCGAATCCGTTTAACTGATGTCTTTGTCTTCATATAAAATTAATTAAGCTAATTGTTGTATTTATTTTTATATGTATTTATTTCGATTGACTATTAAAAGACATTATTAAGGATTCCGTACCCAAATAGTTTAGCCCGTAACGGGACCTTATTACTAAGACTTCGCTGTCTGTCCATCTGTCTCTCTGTTACCAGGCTGTATCTCTTGAACCGTGATACTTGAAATTTTCACAGATGATGTATTTCTGTTGCCGCTATAACAACAAATACTAAAAAACAGAATAAAAAATATTTAAGTGTGGCCATTCAACAGACAAGATTTTTTGTCGTTTTTATAGATAATGGAAATGAACGTGCGTCGTCGTGCGCGAGTCCGAATCGCACTTGGCCGGTTTTTATAGGTATCGCTCGAGTAAATAATAACGTAATCAAGTTTAAAATAACCAACGCAATTTTATATAAATGTATCTACAATTAAATCGTAATTGACTGTTCAATCATGTTAGGGAATATGCGCCACTCGACATTATTATTGCGTTAACGTATCGACGCGTATCACTCCATATAATCCATTCGAGAATTTTCCCCTTTAAGAACTTATCACGGTTATGAAATCAGAGAAGTCGCATTTTTATATTCGAGTTTTTAAAAAAAATAAAGTATAGCGTTTTTGAGTAGAGAGAAAATAAAGTATTTTTTTATTTATTTCTCCTCTTGAAGATTAGAAGAGAGAAAGACACTCACAGTTTTTCACTATACTTATTTTTTTGGAACCTATATTTACAGTCCCAATTTAAATTTAAATAAAAAAGATATATTAAAATAAAATCTGTCAAAACACAGCGCACACACACACACACACTGATCAACAAAGACTCTAGGTTTAAAAATATATTAAATGACAAATTATCATATTTTATAAGAAAAGAAAGTGATAAAATTTTCTTGACAAAAAATGTTTTTAAATCATATAATATAGTTAACAGCAAGAGCTTCCGAGTTGAAAACGTTCGATTAAATTTAGAAGTATTGATAAAAGTTCAGTAATTATCCATAATGGACCTACATTATAGGTACATGCATTGGGTTTTATTTTATGCATCACAGTAAAAATTTTAAATAGAGTATTTTGACATACTTATCGTAATGATCACCGACGCCCAAAAGCTCGACAACATCAGAGGACCTGTAAGAGCGCTGCCGGCTTTGATGAGAATAAGCTATTTTCTTGGTCTTTAAGTCGTATCGGTCCCCAAATACGTCACAATTCTATCCACAAAGGAGTCGAGCGCGCCAGTAAAATTCAAAACACTTCTAGAGGATCCTCACAAATAGGATTTTTTTTTCGAAAGTGTCCACGTCTAGTATAGTGATAGCGATGCGTTTCTAATGAATGTCGGATCTCTTTCACAAACATTGACCAAAACCTAAACAGATATGCTCCTGCTATAACCAAACTTTGATCCAAGTGGTGAATAATCAATCATTTTCTATAGACCTCCTTAAGTTATTAATTTTAAAATGTAATTATTGATATATAGGTGAGCAAATCCATATTTTAATAAATGCCTTTGCAACTTGCCAGCGTTCTTTCAAATCAAATCAAATCGAACACTACGTATCAGGCCACGTTATTCTTTAACAAAATAAATATTGATTTGACACCTATTTGTTCACAACTTAGATAGCCAGACGGGTCTATTCTTACACGGATGGAAAGTTGAAGATAATTAATCTGACATTTTACGGTTGACTGACATGTCAACATGTATCATTGTAAACTTGTATCAACACTTCACAGTCAACAAAAATCTGTGGGAAGCCTTTGTGATCTTTTAAACGTAGCGTAGATCAAAATAACTTACTAGTTAAAATGTAATGTTCCAGTTCAGGAAATATTCTTATGCAATGTGCAACGTGACATTAAAACTTGTAAAGCGTAAATTGTAATAGATATGTCGGCTTCTCAATGTCGATGGCCATCAGGTTGTCATGGCCAAAACGTAAAGGATGTTGTACTCAAAAATCTTTTACTGAAAGATATTTTAGGGCCTTAATAATATTAGTATTTGTTTATTTAAAAAATCACACCAATAGTATTCATATTAAGTATTACAATTGCTTATTTAAGAAACTTTGTTAACATTTTTTTGATGGAGCTGTTCAATAATGAACATTCGAATGACACTTTATCCATTCTACATATATAAATAATATAATTACGCCTTTCATTTAGAGGAGTAGATAAAAATATCGTATTTGGTTTTTCTACGTACTGACCAATCATATCGTATATTAGTTATTTATTTTTTTTACTTACATTCCAAATATGATCAAGTAGAGTTTGACTTTTCGCATTTGAACATAAACCTGTTTGGCAGAGTTTCAATCAATCACTCGAAAAAAAAATTTAGCTTTTTCAACTTCACTGTATTCTTTTTGAAAAATTAATTAGAAACCTTCAATAGTTTCAACATAGGGAATTGTGTTCAGTATTACAATAGATTACACGTGCGGCATATGGAAAATAACAGAGTGCTGTTTATGGTAAATCCATTACGTTAATTGAAATTAAATTTAACATGCCAGACGTAATATGACCATCATTGTACCTGCCTTGGTAGTAACCGCAGCTAATGATCCGCGGGGACATATGATCCGTTGTCCTGATATTTATAAAACATACGAACGTATTTCAATTTAAAATATTGATTTATATCCAATAACGAAAACCATGTAGTCGATACCAAAAGTTTCTGTCTCAAAAAGAAAATAGCTCTTTTCTTTTGTAACACTCGTTGCAAATCTGCTGCAAGCTGATTTTTTAGTGTATGCACCGAAGCGAAAATGTATTACCTTAGAAGAGCCACACAACAGTATTGCGCTGGGCTCGTCCAGGAAAAATTACTATGGCCTCACGGAAGACCGGCCTACAGTTTCTAAATATGTTAAGAAGATGTGCAAAGAAAAATACAGTACGAAACTGAACTAGCGACCCGCGACGGGTGCAATGTATACATATAAACCTTACTCTTGAATCACTCTATCTAGGAAAAAAGTGTAGTTTTAGGGATCTAAGCATACATAGGGACAGACAGACAGCGGGACTACCTTGTTTACGATGTAGTGATAATACACATCTTCTTAGTGGAACGAGGTACTCTGTTAGAAGCAGTGTGAAATAATTGAAAGTTACATACAGAATATAGAATTATACAGAATACAAAAACAATAAAATTCTGGTGCAACACCTCTGTCGAAGTCAGACTTTTGATCGTAGGAAGATACGTGGTCAATTTAAAGTGAACCAAAAACTAATCTAATGCAGCTATTGAGAAGGCGCTTCAATATATCAAGACGAGATTGAGACAGGTCCAGGTCACATGCATCTGTATAATCAACAATGGGAAAAATTAAGGACTGGACAAGCAAAAGCTTGGTTTATAAACATATATACGAATGATAAATTAAAAACAAAATAATGATTTTGTACGTCGAATGATATAATACTATCGTCCAGAATAACAAGGTACAAAATAAGTATAACGTTTCATCATCATCATCATTTAAACCTGTTAGAGTCCACTGCCACGAAGCAAAATCTTCTCACACGCTTGTACAGGACGTTACTCCTTTTAGTGGGGGGAGGGGGGTCGTCCTACACTGCTGGCCGTATGAGGAAGCTCAAAGGTAACGTTCAACGCTATAACGTTTTAGTAAGCATTATTTATTTAATAATGAATCAGAATAATAACAGTCTTGTATTTTTATTGTTTATAAAAAAACCCACAAAACAAGTCAAGAAACAGACGCCGCCGTTTCGGTTTCTTCCTTGTTCCTCTTACGACTTATCGGTTTGCATGATTTATACGTTATAAGATAGATATTAGAAAATGAAGAGTTGCATTATAATAATTTATCGTACAAATAAATAATAAATATATGTTTTTGGATGCTAGGTAACTGATAAACACACATTCGTTACTTTTTGAAGTTATAGTTCTTTTGGCACACTGACAGCAACATGATGAAATTAGTTGCAAATATGTTGCTTTGCAACCAACTTCATCAACTTCACCGTACTACCTGGTTATGATAAATGGATTAATACTATGGAGTTTAGGTAGCTGATAAGCGCACATAAACGTACTTGTCTCTTGTAAACAAACACATATTATAGATGTACAAAACAGCCAGACGGTAAAAAAACACTGTGTTCATCAAAGAATATCTTTCCAGTAGTGGGGATCGAACCCACACCCTCTGATACAGCAGACAGGTCCACTATCCGCCGATCGGTTCGTCAGTGCAATCTCCTCGTAATGGCTTACAATCGTACCCAACCTCGTAGTGGCAACCAATAACAACATTTGACATTTACCTATAATTACAAAATATTTAATAAAGCCCTTATAAATTGCATTTAATGTCTTTTACAAACAGAGAGTACTGGTACAGGGGATAAAATATTATAGTTACTTTTCTTTTGTTACGCTAAACAAGTATAACTTGTTACGAGCGTAAATAAGTACACACATAAGATATTTTTTTATATTTTTACATTTGTAAATGAGTACATATTATAAAGATATTAAAAAGAAACTACGTCCAACACTCACCAAGTGAGGATCGATCGGCAGTTAGTAAAAAAATTCAAAATTAAGAAATAACCGATGACGGCGGCGAAGGCGTAAATAACGACCTGGGTTAAGGCTATTACGATTCCGGCTCGCTATCAACCGACCTATTCGTTTTATCTCCATAGTTCAAACCCTAAAGCTACAACGGACGCGATAACATGGGAGTGCATCACTACGTATCCTGGTTCGGTTTGTTTATCTTATCGGTCGACTACCATCCATTCATGCGGGAAAAGCTCTCTTTTTTAGGACTAACTGTTCAAAATGCTCGCGCGTCCCCAATTCGGTTTCGCGGCGGAAGCATCTGTCTGCGCAACAGAACTCACCTAGTACAATGTTACCTATTAATTTTTCCATCTTTATTATATCAAAATGTTAATGTCCATAGTAACATTGTGTCGCAATATAAGCCTATAGCATCATTTGCGAGCAAACTGCTTGCTTTCCCGATTGGTGGGTTACCGTCTGCTTATATTTTGCAACGCGATATATCGTGTAATCAGCACAAATAGTGGAACATGCTGAAATTATTCACATACACATTTCTGAAGTGCGCAGTTTATTGCTGTAAATCATAATCAAGTTCAAAGAGTTGCGTCAGCTGGCGCCGATGCCGGTGTACATTGTATTCATAAGCCATTGCCTTAAATGAGAGCACGAAGAAGAAATAAAAAAATTACGTGTTTCACGTATCGAGCAGGTGCACGGACTTAAATAACCTAGATAGTGAACCTGACTCTTCCGCCAGAGGGCGTGGGTTCGATGCCTTTGAATAATATTGAGTGATGACCATATTGTTTCTCTAGTGTATAGTTATTTAAAAAAGTATGTTTATTTATGTTTATCAGTTACCTAGGACCCATGGTACAAACTTTGTTCATGTAGCGACTAGATAATAATGTTTAAAAATTTACTATGTTAATATTTTTATTTATAAAAGTTCGTTCCCTTCCACCACAACGGCTAGATTCTTTGAATCAAATTTGTAATTACGTAGGCTGAGGATTATTACGCTTTGTGTTTTATCCTTTAAATTGTATCTTTATTATTACGAAAGAAATGATTATAGGTGCTACATTTAAACATTTTTATTATAATACAAATAGGCATGGTTTTCAATCATGCTTTTATACCAGACGATTTAAAAATTAAAATTTTAACCATAGTAAATACTGTTTAAACTTTAAATTTTAAATTAAAAGCGAATAATATGTATAGATACATTCTTCACTCTGAAAAATGATTGTTTGCTTGTTTATGATCCTTATTCATGCCTCAATAGTCAAAGGTTCCACATAGTTTAGCTGGTTTAACAGAGATAATATTTAATCCTCTAAAACGTGACCATGTAGAGAACGACGCGAGCGAGGCCGCGATGAAAACCTAGAGGGTAATATTTGCATGATTACTCAAGCCACAGAGATTTGTAATGGCATGATGCACGACTATTCAGCTGTCAATAAGGGTTACATTACAGTGGCTAAATGTTTTTAACTTCGTTTACTTTGTGTCTGTGGTTGGTTAGAATTACTTGGAATCTGGCAATTTTTTTACTTATTCTTCGAATTCATTCCATAACTAACTATTTAACATACTATCGGAATATAATTATTTTCTAGAAGAGAAAGTTGGAAACGAGGAGATGGTTCTCCTGATATCAAGTGATTACTATGCGATGCTATGTGATTACAAACACAACACAAATGATACTGGAGTTGCGATGTATTTATTTAACGGGGTGTGCCTCTCTCGCATAATTTATCAACAAAAAAAATATCAAGACGGATTTGAACTTTGCATATTTATGAACGAATAAGCATATGTAGGATTCCTTAATATTTTAAAACAGGCAGCTTAAAGTAGATAAGAAAAAACATGTCCCTTTTATAAAACATCATAAACATCTCAATATTTGTATACAATGGCGCTTCTACACACCTGGGCAGAGTGCCAAGTCGCTTGGCAGAAGTATTTGTAAAAGCATTAAAAAAGAATTTTTATTTGATAACGCAATAGGCGTAACGAAAACCAATAACAGTTATAACAATAAATAAATTGTTTCCGTCATTTATTGTTATTATCTCTACCGTTAATTGTTCTTACTAAATTATGAGTCTCATTTTTTTCGTTTGGATATTCATTTGAGGTGACAGATTACTTTACTTGTGAAAATTATAACAGAATAATTTTAATTAGTGTTAAGGTATCGATTTATATGTTTAGGCGTAATTGATGAATCATAAAACGAAGCAGCAGTTAACTGCTTGTAACACTAAAAATAATTGTTAATTTAAAATCCAGAGTTTATGTAGTGTTATGAACGGGTTTTAATTAATTCCAATTCACTATACACATTTTTCATAAATGAAAGTTACGGAGAGATCACCGTCCAGTAGTGGGAGGAGAACGTAGATCTGATTTGAACGGCTCGAGGACCAACGTCAGTGATCCGCCAAGAAAAATTTCTCAGGTGTTATACTCACTTGATCTATCCACAGATTTGGGGTTACATAAGCACGTGTGCTCGTTCTCCGAGCGCACGAGTACGTTCACTGGGCTGCGCACAAACCAGATTTGGATAATTCAACACTTATTTCCATTGCAACACAACACAACCAAACAGACGGCGATACGGCGGCTGGCGCGACCGCTTTCGCTTGTGCAAACAGCCTCTCGGCGCTTCGGAGCGCGGCGTGTCTTCGTGGAAAGCGCGGTACGACGCAGCCAGCCGAGGGTCCAAGGAGGGCGCGGACTGTACTTCGTGGAAGGCCCGTCTCGGAGCTGACGCGGCGTCGCCGTTGCGAGAACGGCGTGCGCGCAGATCGGACACTCGTGAACACTAGCGCTTGCCGGTTAGCGCACGACAGCCACCGCAGCGCTCACGGGCAGACTGATGCTGTTGCCCCAGAAAACGGCCGCCGGCGGCTGCGCAACTCACTTTCCCTGTCCGACGATCCCTTTCTCAATTTCGCGCCGGCTCCCTGTTTATTATTTATTTTTTTGACGACGTTTCGCATAATTCGCGACAGACGGCGCCCTCGCTCCAACCGTGGTGTCCGACTGGAATACGTGATTTTATTGTACTTATACGTTCGCTTATATTTTATAACTATAAATTTTGAGAAGTATAACCGCTTATAGAATAAGAGAAAATAATTGCATTAACGTTAATCCACATATAAAGTTTGAGATGTATGACCATTTAAACAACAAGAGGACACATAAATGCATTATAATAATTGCATGCATAATAATTTAATTTGATATAAAAGTATTTACATGTTAATTTATATGTATTTAAAAATTTAAATAAGATAACTTACAAATTCTAAATTTTCCATTCTGTATTTCAAATATTTAAAAAAGTTAAGAAAAATTAATACTAGCATTTGTGAAAGCGAACACATCAATTTGCACTATCAAATAGCTTTGACCTCTATTAAATGAAACTGTCACCCTTAAGGATTGAGATAAAAAGCCTTCAACGGCCATTGCGTGTCCGGTCTCCATCAGTCACCTCATTCCGTTCTAACGGAAATTACGATACTTTAGCACGAGGCTGTCTAAAAAGCAACAACATGATGTTAATATAACGCTGATGTAGCTACAGTTATAATAACATGTACACTTGTTCACCGTGTACCTAATACTAATAGACGAGGCCGTACCACGTTCACCAAGTTTATTTTTACTGAGCTTAAATAAAATACTTATGTTCCCAGTAGTGGAGTATAAAAAATGGATTAGGAATGTATGATACATGGCGGCTGGTTTTCGTTAGTGGAATGATTTACACTTGACAGACGGACCATACGGAGAAAACTTGTCCGGATCTCTAAAACTGCACTTGGAGTTATAATCTATGGATTCGGGGTTTCCCTGTCTCATGAGGACAGGTTTTTGTACGTCAGATAGCTAACGGTATAAACAAAATAAACCTAACCCGCCAATACTTAGGTAAGGAAATGTAAAGGTTCCAATACTCAATGATATTAACGAATGCTGTCAATAGTATGCTTCCTAGCATACTATCCCGTGAAAGACGGGATGGACTAGAGACGCATGTTATATCGGAATTGTTGTCATTTAAGCACATCTCGATAACATCTTAGAGATAAATCGCATAAGGAATAGACTTATGACGCTTAAAGTGAAATAATTTTCCCATACATTGCAGCGAATCATAGATTATAAATAGAAAGGTTATACCAGAAGAGTTGGTCACAACGCAACACCGCATTATAGTAATATGATAATGAAACTATAGGACTTAGCAGAAAAAGCAAAAGACAAATTCACTCGAAATCCTGTGGTGGAATTTAAAGGATGAAAAAACTAAAAAGTTCTGTCCCCAAATTGCAAATATCTAGGAGCAGCTACGAAAGTTCGTCTTCATGGTAGCAAATATGAATTGTGGTCAAAAAACACAAAAGGATTAACGGGGAAATTTGATGGTGGACTAAAACGTACAATAGACTATACTGCAGTATAAATACATAATTGTACGTACGTTTTTTACTAACTAGACTAGGCTTACTAATGTAATATACGAGTCCCAACCCCCTGGTGGTAAGCTCAGCAAATTACCAACCCAACACAAACGCGAACGTCGACAAGCTTCTCCCGCGAAACGTCCTCATCGACCCGGTCGAGAGATACGCCTGACCCACCGACGGGGTCCCGCCGGATAACACTACACCCACAGTTAGTGTAACAACAAACACACTAGTTCGCCCTCGCCCCGAGCACGGCGAGACCAACACAACGCGTACACAAGGTACACCCGCGTTCCGGGGCGGTCCGCTCCCAACCACCGATTAGCTAATTGCACAGTCGATGGCCATCAGGGTTTCGGTTCGAACCGCGACCTCGATGGCCCTTAGCTGATAACACCATATTAATTAGATGAAGACACCATAGTTAAACGCATGCATGAGCACATGCGCGGCACCCACGGCGGAGGGCCCAAACCCGTGGGTTCTGGCTAGCCCACCGGTTCTGCGTCAGATGAAGCTTTAATAGTCTCGGGACTGAAAGCAAAAAACATCAGTTAAGACAAGATACAATATACTAGTGTACAATACTCTATTACAGAAAATTACAATTTTTACTGTAGTATCACCCATATTTTTATGATTTTTTTGTAGAAAAGTGCTACATGCGTTTATGTCATACAGATTTACTGAGCTTTTAGTAAAAAAAACGTTTTATAATTATAAATGTACGATCTATTATTTTTTAGAATGTTTTAGCCTTGTTGGTTTTTTTGTAAAAGGGGCCTGGAGCGCCCTAGACGGATATTTCAGTAGAGGACCTCGAAGAAGAAGGAATAGGAAGACAAAAGGAAAAGTGAAAAAGGCGTACGCGAAGGATTGGTGTGGCAAAGTGTGGGCCGTCGCACCGGCAGTCGCTTAGCTAGGGAATTGGTGTGTATTAACTGATGTTTTTGCTTTCAGTCCCAAGACTTCATCTGATGCATGGGGAATTGGTGTGTAACGAGAGATTCGTTGCACCTGTGTACTACTAATGCCCGGTTCCTATATTCAATGAACGGCCGTTAGTTAAATAGCTTCGTAACTTTCATAACGACTTGTAGATTAAAGGAGCGCTAGTAACTCACTTTCCGTAGGTAAAGCAACGTGTCAGAAGGAAAACGCCTCGTTTTGTTAATATAGGAACCGGGCGTACACGCCTTTTATCTGGAGCTTGAAAAGCTCGTTTCTACGGTAAGCATAGCGTTCTCATTAACATTCTCAGATCTGGCATCTTGTGGGACGTCATAATGGTGCGAACTTTCAGTCCAGTACGATAAGGTCGGGTTGACTCTACCTTAGTATGCCAAAGGTATATATCAGTACTTAAGCAAACCCAAGCGCATACTTTGTTTACGCCTGGCAAAAAACTGCTTGTTTCATGCCGGTATATTATTATATAGATATGCCTATTATTGTTGATTTATTAATTTTGTTTAGATCATTATCATTGAAATAAGGAATTAATTTTACAAAATATTGTCGTTGTAAATGGCAATTGCTTAATTTTTTAAAATATATTATGTTTTGCATTAATCAGCTGTCATTTAGATTTCTTGTTTTACTATAATAATATATTATAAGTTTAACCATTACAAATTGTGTTACAATATGTGCACAAATGCCGAGACGAAAAAGTAGGGTAAATGTAGGTTACGTACACTCAGGATTACGGAATATTTTTAAAATTTGTAGGCCGCGACCTTCCACGGTATAATTTAAAGTAGGTACAATTAAGTTCATTGTTTGTGTACAAAAGAGTGGCAGTGTGGACACGATTTTTTTGAATTAGAAGCTTTCGTAAGTCCAAGTAATATTTTAACAGAATTAAGTAAGTTTTTTATAAAAACTTACTTAATTCTTAAACTGTGAATGTAACATTAGTAAAGCAACCTTATCATTCGCGAAACATTAGATATTAATTGTTAACGTCGGTGCCTCAAACCGTTCACTAAATCAACTATATCATAATTATGTAATCAACTACCTACTCATATAAGTAGTTAAGTTCATTCACAAAAAGTATTTTATGGTTATTACATATTTTTTACATGAACGGACGTAATGTTAAACTGCTAAACACGTCATTGCTAGTATTTTTAGTATATTTTACGGACGTACTTAGGGAGCAACAAAAAGATGCATAACCGTTATGATTGTAATGTACTGCATGTACATAGAGTATGCAAGATTTAAATATATAAGGGCATCGGTACATATGTCAAAGAACATAATGACAACTGACGTCTATCATAATCTGACCTCGGGAGGAGACTTGCTAGTAATTTGTTTAATAACGAACTGACCAGCGCTTGATCTCCATCGCACCTGGTGGTAAGTGTCAATACAAGTAGAGACACTATTTTTTGAGCAAGCTGTAATCAGATTTCAAATGATTACCCTTGAACATCTACAATATCAGGAAAGAATGCAGGTACGTGTCAAATATAAAAAATGAAGCTCCTGTTACATCACTCACCAAACGAAACGAAGTACACAAATTCCACTTTAAGTGTGCTTCTTTGTGGCCGTGGCAGTAGTAACAACTAAGTAGCCCTAACACAGCTCAGTAAAAACCTATTCACTAGCTCAGTAAAAAGTAATTCAATATAACCTTGAAGACGCCCGTGTTGTATATTAATGGACAGACAGTTGTTTTGATAATTTTTTCAGGTAATTTAATTTTTTGCTGGATGTATTATGAACAACGAAGCAATCTGCTTTTGTCGTTTGCGTGAATTATCTACACTAAAAGGAAGAAGACCACCCAACAGTCCTTCTCTTCTTTCATTCTTCCAATGAATGTAAATAATCCAGCGCAAATGTGTCCTCTATAAATGCGAAAAGCTGGCTACCTGTGCTAAGACAACTAAGATTAATTTTAGCCAAGTTAGAGTCGGCCAGGCGCCGCATCGCGCTTTTCCATTGAGTGCGCAGAACACACAATCGAGCTAATCCTTTGTATACTTTCAGAAGCTTTTCCGATATAAGGTTTGGGTGTACCATTATGCTGGGACAATCAATTCCTCCCAAGCCATTCAATATAGGTATTCTAAGTACACATTAAAAAGTCTCTGTTTACAAGGCATAGAAATTTACAAGACATCACCGTAATGGGAGACCGCCTACAGTGTGCCTTTGGTATTATTCATATCACATTATAATATAGGATGTCCACGACCCAAATGACCTTTACTTACGCCTTGTAAACCTTGTTCACTCAAGCAGCGTATCAGGTTTCAGACAGGCTGGCATCTTTGTGCAATTTATGTGAATCACAGCATACATATACGAAATAGCTTTCAACGTTGCTCTGTCCGGTTACGCAAACGATGCAAGGGACTTCACTATATACGCCATGTGGCTTGATTATAGAGACAACGCTATTAACGTATTTAATGCGAGTTTCAAACCGGGATGTTCATTTTTTCCTCCAAAATTGTTATCGTGCAAGCGGATCATTATAGGTAAAATCTCAAACTAACAGCTAATCGACCCACCGAGGCGATAAGATTAATATTGCACAAAACTAAGGGACGAGTTCTTTTTTAATTCCCTCCGTGTTGTGTGTATGTTAATTTTATATGGTGTTTTTGTAAACTTAATTATGCGCTTAACTACTAATAAACGTTTTCAAGTAAGGCTAACGTAATCAAATGAAGATGAAAGCATCATATTTACAATTATAACATGCCTTTCCTTTTGTTGCAAATGTGTTGCCAACTTGCCAACCATTAAAAGAGTGGCCGTAAGTGTTATACGCACATTTTTTTGAACATGCGTTTATCTGATATTAAGTAATTACCATCACCCGTGGACAGCTACAACACCTGAGGGATTGCCGATGCATTACCAACCTTTAAAAAGTAGGTCCAATTATTTCATTGACCATATAAAATGAGAAAGTACAAATTGAATTTAATTGCATTTTACGCATGTGTTATATTGCTCAATACTGAAGAGGCTGCTACATGTCTCTACTCCTGTAAAAACCTGCTTATTCATATGAAGATAAACAGAAAGCGTATTATATTATGTTTTAAGATTCAGTAAAAGTGTTATATAAAGTTTACTAAAAAATTAACAGCCTTTATTAAAAACTTGTAAGCTCGTTATTTTTCTTACATCTCGATTATAAAGTAGATATCCTATGTGATTTTAATTGTCCTTTTAAAGGCTAACATTGTCATTACAAGGCTTGTTATTCCTTTCATATAATGTCGACCCCATTACGTAGGATTGTCATGTAGGGAAACATTTATCTTTACATTGCGGTCATTTGAAGGGCAAGGCCGCAGTTCGCATGCCCGCCACCGTTTATCTTAAATTGCAAATTGCCTTTTATTGAAGCTTCTTGGCTTTCTCTTCAAGAAATACTACAACACACGAAGCAAAAATTTGTCTTTTTCCACTGAAATTTTTGCATTGTAACGCAACTCAAGATCAACAATTGCAAAAACCAATTAACATCGTTGAGTTATGAAAGCTTACGTGCAGAACGCACCGCTGTAATTACAATTTCGGTTACAAAGTCATTAGGTATGCGTGACGATGCAATTCGTTTATTCCATCCTTTCAAATAATTAAACGATTTATCGCGATGTTCAATTGTTTTAATGTTTCATTGAATAGTAGTTATTATTTTCAATACCAAATTATTTTTTACTTAACCCTCTTAGAACGCTTGTCGAATCTGGCAAGTTGTTTAAAAGAAATAGCACAAATAAACCTCAACTAAAACATTTCCAGCGAATCGTATTGTACCGCCTCCACTTTACTGGCGAATAACAGCGAATCTGTAAAACCCCATGACGTCAAACTCGCACTAAGTCGTCGCGCGCGCATAAACAAATGTAAGGAGTCATGGCAGTTGTGATTTAAAAGTTGTGTAAAGGAGAAGTTCAAGCTCATTAAAAATTTTCCACTGGCTGCTATAATCTCATTTATTTACTTTCTTCGCGTAAAAATGCACATTATGTACAGATTAAAAATCAATCGAAAGCGCATAAATTTTCAGTATCTAATTTATCATTTTTTTTATTGTAGGTACCTACTTGATCTTTGTAGGCGGAACTCTATTTTAACTTTTATCTTTTCCCATTACATGTATGTCATGAAAAATAGAAGAATGAATCCAATAAATGATTAAAGTTGCTTATTTATCCGTAACTTTGAAGTCAAGGCTTTTTAAACCTACAATCACATTTTAAAAAACATTTATGATGGGTTCATAAAAGCTAATTGCACTTTTTAAATTTTTTTAAAAATTATTATTAATTTTTAATGATATTATTATTTTGTTATTTCCGCCTATTTTTTATGTACGCAAAGTTCTAAAACGACAATCGTGATATATGCCACCTACGTCTGTTTTTTTAATTTTGTGAATAACGAAAGAGCTTTTATCTCCATCGAAACCTGAGCTGTTCCGGTATTCTTACAATCCCTAGTCGACTGACCGTACGCAAAAGTACTGAGTAGCCTGTACAGTAAGTATAGCGGCTTCGTCTGGAGGATGTCTCGAGTCTTCAAAGCATTCGACTGGAACGGATTAGGCATCAACATCAATTGCAAATACCTCGGTCATTTACGCTTTGCGGATGACATAATTCTGTGGAAATTATGTCATCGGTGTCATCTGGTGGAATCAATACAGGTTCTGCAAAAAATACTGAAGAATCTGAATACTGCCTCATAACGAGACGGTTTCTCGAATGGTGACCACGTCTCAGCGATTGTAATGTGAGACGTCCCCTTGCCAGGTGAACCGATATATTGATACCAATACAATAGTATGAAAAGCTCTGTGACAGAGCTTTTCATACTATTGTAATGTAATTCAATGCGTGCCGATGATATGGGTGTGGCACGATACCATGG